CAAGGAGGGAAAACTCACTCTGAGTGCCACAAACTACATCAATTAATCCTTAAGACAGCAAATATGAAGAAAGTGAATATGTCAATTGATTAAAGCAGCTGAGACTAAAACTAACAGAGTAAATAGATGAGAATTTTTAGGAAAACTGAGCTGGAAATGGAAGGATTCACTTCCCCCATGACTTCTGGCTATATTCATTTTCTGAGACTTTGATGCTGTCCCCCATCAAAACATTTGATGATGTTTTGGAGGTTTAGCAAAAAATAAGAACATATGAAGTATCCTGCTGGATCAGACCTACGAACCATCTAGTCTAGTTCTCACTGTGGCCAGAAAGAAACCTATGTGAAATTCAAGGTTCTTCTCTCTTGTGAATAAAAATGTAAGATTAGACACAACGCTGGCTGACCATGACTGTGGGGCAGACTCAGGATTCAGTGGCCCCAGGCTGCCTCAGCCCTGCCCCCCCCTTGGAACACCCCATTTGGGCTGATAGGGAATCCCACACGGTGGGTTTAATGCTGCCGGCCTTCACATCACATTTGCAGACATCTTTATGACGCGAGTTGGTTTGCCAACAGGCCTGGTGCCTGAAGCCACCTCCCTGTAAGGCAAATCCTTGGGGATTCTGCCAGGCACAGAAATACACAAACAAATGGGACGGGCAGCAGTGCAGATTTTTGCCCCCTGTGACAAAATGTGTAGATCTGGCTCTGGTCAGCACCATTCAAGTGATGCTGGAATAAGTCTTTTGGTGGCAACCAGCAGCAGTTTAGCTCAGCCAGGGTTGTTGAGTGGAGAAATGGCTCTGGTTAATAGAAACTTCACCCACAACCTGGCCTAAGGGTTTGTGGTTTTTTCAAGTTCTGCCTACTTCTGTAAGCTGCTGTGAGCATTATGTAAAAGAAGTGTTGAAATTCCTTTTATTTTTTTCTCTTTTGACTGGTGAACAACACTGTTTCCTAAGCTTCAGCTTTATCACATCATTGTGATACGCAGTGGCTGTGATGCAAGCTGGCACTATTTTGTCATTGTTGTTGTTTAGTCGTTTAGTTGTGTCCAACTCTTCGTGACCCCATGGACCAGAGCACGCCAGGCACTCCTGTCTTCCACTGCCTCCCGCAGTTTGGTCAAGCTCATGCTGGTAGCTTTGAGAACACTCTCCAGCCATCTCGTCCTCTGCTGCCCCTTTCTCCTTGTGCCCTCCATCTTTCCCAACATCAGGATCTTTTCCAGGGAGTCTTCTCCTCTCATGAGGTGGCCAAAGTATTGGAGCCTCAGCTTCAGGATCTGTCCTTCCAATGAGCACTCAGGGCTGATTTCCTTAAGAATGGATACGTTTGATCTTCTTGCAGTCCATGGAACTCTCAAGAGTCTCCTCCAGCACCATAATTCAAAAGCGTCAATTCTTTGGCGATCAGCCTTCTTTATGGTCCAGCTCTCACTTCCATACATCACTACTGGGAAAACCATAGCTTTAACTATACGGACCTTTGTCGGCAAGGTGATGTCTCTGCTTTTTAAGATGCTGTCTAGGTTTGTCATTGATTTTGTCATAGTGTTTGCTATTTGTTAAAGCAAAAAAAAATTATCACACTGTTTTCTTATGTACCTTAAAGGTAAACAGAGGCAACTGTTGCCACTATGGCAGTCTGATTTGTAAAATCCCTCTACTGCAGTGGAATTCTATTTGATTTGTTTAGTTGAGTGTTTGGGGCACAGGTTTCTAAATCTTTCCGAAGAGCTCCAGCCCCTAGAGATGTTAACTTTGTTGCTCCAGTGGGAAGAACACTTCTTCGTATCATGCCACTCGAGAAATACAGCCTGTTTGTTAAAGAGCACAGATTCTGTAACTCTCTCAGTGAGAAGAGGGGAAGGACACGCCAGTGGTTCAAAGAAGCTGGAAAGGTATATGCATATGGAAATAAACTATGGTGTTACTGCCCTCTGTTGTTCACTTTGGTGAATAGTAAAACAGCATTTGAGTTTTAAGTATATTTGAATCCATGTCTGAATTAAGTTTTCTACAATAGTATTGAAGGTTTTTTTTTGGGGGGGGAGGTGTTGTTGTCACTTCATTATGCTTCCTTACCAGTACTGTATATTTAATTTGTAAAGTTAATTTTGCTAATTAACCAGGCTGAAACGTTCCTGTTTAACCACAATCCTTTAGCTGATTTGATTTCTGATGCCCTTTTAAAATGTTACAGGAGGGGGGAGGCGTATTGGGTTGCTCTTGTTTCTGTTTTGATTGTGTATTCTGTGTTTTTTATATTGTGATTTTGTGCTGTGAACTGCCCTGGGACTTGTATGTATAGGGCAGTATACAAATTTAATAAATAAGAAAATAATAATCGTTGTTATATTAAGTTTGTATACTGCTCTTTACCCACAGACCTCAGGACACTACACAATCTAAAATTACAATATAAAAACACAAAATGCATAGTAAAAAAATATGTCACCTTTTTATACTTCTACAAATTCGGAGGCTCTTCCAAGCTTGCCATCAGTTCTGTCATGTGGATGGTGGCATTTGGGCTACATAAGGATTGGTATGGAAAGATTAAGGCTACACAGCAGTTTATTCCATTCCCTGATGTTCCCCTGTTAATTTCTACATTCCACTTGATTTTTTACATGACATGAAATATAGTGGAATATAGCACAACTTTAGCACTTATATCTGTGTTATTTGCTTCCAGAAAATAATTCGGTTTCAACATCATGCAGAAATGAATGCTAAACTTATGTTATATTCCTCTATATTTCTGGAAGTGGCTTTTACATCACGTGAAAGCTCAATATGTGGAAATTCACAGTTAGGGAAACATTGGGAAAGTAGAATGAACTGCCATGTGAATGTAGCCTTTGTGCTATCAGTAAATGTGGGGAGAGGCAGATAACCACTCCTAATAAAGAGGATGACTAATGGGCCCTAGATAGGCATAGGCAAACTCAGCCCTCCAGATGTTTTGGGACTACAACTCCCATCATCCCTAGCTAACAGGACCAGTGGTCATGGATGATAGGAATTGTCTCAAAAACATCTGGAAAGCTGAGTTTGCCTATGCCTGATCTAACAGATGGGCATAGACTGTGTTAGGCCGGGGAGCAAGGCTCACTGAAGAGGCATACTATGGATAGTTTCTCTGCACATTGAATAATAATAATAATAATAATAATAATAATAATAATAATAGGTTTGCTTGAAACATACAAAGCATTTGCCTCTTAGACCATAAACCATTTATGGTACCTGTAACCAAGGCCACAATGTATGAGCGAAGGACTATGATATTTTAATAGGTCACAAGGCATGCAGGTCTGGTGTACATCCTACCTGTATGAATGTTTCAATTGGCTTTAAAACGATCTTCTGTTGTATTGGAGATGATTTATGAATTCGCAAACAGCAGCTACTGTCAGCCCATACTAAGCTGTCTGAACAAATGGACCTTTATTTACCGTAGTTGTATTAGGTTGTTTGGTTTTGGCAAACACTTCAGGAATATATCGGATCAGTCAAGTTTATTTTCAGGTCCTATAGAGAGATATTAAGGTTTAAATAAGTATATAATGTTGGCCTATATGCAGCAAGAATTTATAGCAATAGCACAACTGACTTTGAGAGAGAGAGAGAGAGAGAGAGAACGAACCATCTGGGAATCTCGTACTATGAATGTTTTATGTAATAGTTTTATCTAAATCAGAAGGAATTAAATAACACATTCTAAGCTGAAAATCTTGTAATATTTTCAAAAGCCCGGATTTATGAACAGGGAAATAGACTGAGCTGTGTTGTTGTTGCCTGGCAGATAAGAGAAAGATCTCCTGTGTTTCTGACATTGTTTTAAACCTCAGTGCGCTTAAGAAGTTCCACCCCCCCACAAAAAAAAAGCAATATGTCCTTCAAAATAAGGGAAACACAAAGTTACTCGTGAGGTATGCTTTCTTCATAACCTTCTGCTATATATGTTGGAAAGTGGCATTTGTCCATCTGTTTTCTATGCATTCGGATGCCTATTGGCATAAAACTTGGCATGACAGTTCCTGAGATGGAGGAGCTGGTTTGGATACCATTGGACATCATTTTGAATTGAGACGGTGGACCAAAACATTCCAAACTGCACCAGTTAGGACACTTCTGTAGATACCATCACCATGGTTGGTATGACTGCTCAAGAGAAGCGGGTTTTGCTCTCCGTTTGGAAACCATCAAATGCCATTTTGAATCAAGTTGGTGAACTGTCACTGCCCTGAATTGGACAACTTTCAATATTATGGTCACTCAATTTGGCAGGATGATCCCTGAGATGATGGTTTTGGATACCATCAGACACTATTCTGAATCAAGAGGATGGGCCGCTAAACCTTTCAAAACTGAAATGATTGGACCAAATTTGACAGGAAACTAGTAGGGCCATGCCCAAGATTTGGCCAAAGCTTGAATCACAAACTGAAGCAGATTCAGGCTTCTACCAGGTTGGGTCACAACAGCCCCAGGTCACCCCAGGTTGGGCTGCCTGGAGTGATCCAGAGCTGTCAGGGAGTGGGGTGTTAGGTGAGAAGGCAGAAAGGTAGGCAGCCTCGACAAAGAGCATCATGGAGCTGTTTCTTTTTTAAAACAAACATTTATTTAGTTTTTCAGATTTTAAAAAATTACAATTATCAAACAGCCAACATAAAAAGAGACTCTCAGACAGTCCCACACTGTGTTTTGGTAGTGTACAATCCATATGTATTTCACCTGTCGTTTCTTAGGAAATACTGTGTCTTGATTCATTTCCCCTCGAGCCGGTTCAATCCAAATTGAGAAAAAGAACAAGCTGGTTGTGTTTTAAGTCAGTTTTGCACACACAGTCCTACACTGAGTGCACAGTCATGGCACTACTCAGCTTCATTGTCAATTATGTTATTTAGTGATTTGGTAGGTTAGATAGCTGTGTTACCATTGACATGCTCAATGTAGCTTCCCAAAAATATACAACTGAACAAAACAGTTGCACAACAATACAGTGCGAAATAATGCAATACAAAATCATTGCAAACATCTTTCTTTTTGTTACACTTGCAGTATAAAATATAAAAAAGGCAGACATTAGGACCATCATATAGAATACAATCCTTAAAAGGCACTTGGAGAGCAGTAATTTGGTCACTGTCTAGGCTTTTCAACTGCAGCAGTGAATAAAGGGTTGGATTTCTGCTGCTTTGCTATTAAGCCTGTTGGTGATCTGGAAAGGACGTGCAGTACTTTAACTATTATTTATAATTAATACTTCTATTTATACAGTGATTTATTAGCTGAATCAAAATAGTATTTTAAAGCAGTGCAAAATTTTTTGGCAATATTTTGAGTTACCTAGAGGGAATATTATAGTTTATAGGGTATGAAGATTACAGCGGTAGTTGCAAATTACCAAAATAAGCTACTATGGCAACCCAGTCAGATTGGCAGGGTATAAATGATTTTTTAAAAGTATTATTACTACTACTACTTTAAATGCAAAGAAAAAAAAAAGTAAAATCCCTTTTACAAGTTGGATAGGTAACTTATTTTAGTAAACAGATATGGGAGAACACAATTTTGGCAATTCACACTCATATTTCCATTTTCACATTGCAAAATTGGCCTGAACTAACGCCGATGTCTCCCATGATGCATTCCTGCATGATGATGTCTCCCATGATGCATTCCTGCATGATGATGCATCCCATGATGCATTCCTGCATGATGATGTATCCCATGATGCACCCCAGCACCATGGTGTGCTCCATGATGCACCCCAGAACGACGTTGACGGTTTCTGTTTCCCGCACGTTCAAAAAACATGAAATCCTAAGTAGTAGAAAAAAAGAACTATTAATTATATGAACTCTGGACTCAAACCCATAATTTATTTTATATTTTACAACAGCTATCACACAATTATTTAAATGGAACTACTGGAGAAAACATGTCAAGCAAGAATAAGGAACATGTAAGCCTCTAGATGTGTCTGAGCTCCAACTCCCAGGAGTCCCAGCCAGAAGATCTCATGCTTGAGGATGATGGGCGTTCTAGTTCAGCAACATCTGGAAAGTCACACCTTTTCGATCTCTGCGCTAAAGTATGGCTCACTGAACCCACTGCGGTGGAACGTGTGTGCAAGACTTGGGCACGGGCAACAATATGTCCAGCTTGTTTTCATTTTGCTTTAAATTCAAGGACTCGCATCCAGTAGCAGCACATGTCCCTAGGTCTGGTTCCTTTGTATCTTGAATGCAACTCCATGAGGCCGTAAGCAATTTATCATTTGAGGGTTGAGGAAATGTTTCCATGCTTAGAAGTTTGTACTTTGGGGGTGGATGCTTCTTCACTGTTCCTTTTATATCAAAAATGCTAAGTCAGGGGTAGGTCAGTCAGTACAGCATCAGACTCTTCATCTCAAGGTCGTGGGTTCAAGCACCACTTTGGGCAAAAGATTCCTGCCTTGCAGCATGTTAGATAATCCTCTTAGTCCCTTCCAACTCTGCAGTTCTATGATTCTATGATACTAGGCCAAGCATAAAAAATAAATAAATTAAAATGCAAACTGAAAATTGTACAATGCGCATTATCCTGTGCAAATTTGCATTAGGTCCTTTTCTTTTTAAAATTCTGGATTATTTTTTTAACACACATCACTAGGCATGACTGCCCATCTTTTCTGGCCCTCCAGCTACAGTACTGACCGTTCAGTACTCATCAGACATAATGCCTCAGAGTGACATCATACGGCTGCGATGGCTACTGGAAACCACAGGGTGGCAGAGGGATTGAATCCTGCTTGCTGGTTACCCACAGGCATCCGGGTTGGCCACTGTGAGAACAGGACTGTGGACTTGATGGGTCATTGGTGAACTGTTCTTACGCTCTCAACACAGTCATAAAATCTCCACCCGCATCATTCAGCTCCAAAGGGCCTTCTGGTGGTTCCCTCACTGCGAGAAATGAGGTTGCCACAGAACCAGGCAAAGGGCCTTCTCGGTAGTGGCACCCACCCTGTAGAATGCCCTTCCATCAGATGTAAAGGAAATAAGCAACTATCTGAGTTTTAGAAGACATCTGAAGGCAGCCCTGTTTAGGGAAGTTTTTAATGTTTGATGTTTTATCGTGTTTTTAATATTCTGTTGGGAGCTGCCCAGAGTGGCTGGGGAAACCCAGCCAGATGGGCGGGGTATAAATGATTTTAAAAAATATTATTACTACTTCTACTTTAAATGGAAAACAAAATTAAAAACTAAAATCCCTTTTACAAGTTGGATTGGTAACTTGTTTTATTAAAGTTATGGGAGAACACAATTTTGGACATTCACACTCATATTCTCATTGCAAAATTGGCCTGAACTAACGTCGATGTATCCCATGATGCACCCCAGCACGATGATGTATCAGTCATCACGGTTTCTCTTTCCCGTACGTTCGAAAAACATGAAATCCTAAGTAGTAGAAAAAATAACTATCAATTACATGAACTCTGGAATCAAATCCATAATTTACTTTATATTTTACAACAGCTATCCCAAAATTATTTAAATGGAACTACTGGAGAAAATATGTCAAGCAAGAATAAGGAACATGTACGCCTCTAGATGTGTCTGAGCTACAACTCCCAGGACCCCCAGCTAGTAGATCTAATGCTCAAGGATGGTGGGCGTTCTAGTTCAACAACATCTGGAAAGTCACACCTTTTTGATCTCTGCGCTAAAGTATGGCTCACTGAACCCACTGCGGTCGAACGTGTGTGCAAGACTTGGGCACAGGCAACAATATGTCCAGCTTGTTTTTATTTTGCTTTAAATCCAAGGACTTGCATCCAGTAGCAGCACATGTCCCTAGCTCTGGTTCCTTCGTATCTTGAATGCAACTCCATGAGGAATGCAACTCCGTAAGCAATTTATTGTTTGAGGGTTGAGGTAATGTTTCCATGCTTGGAAGTTCGTACTTTGTGGGTGGATGCTTCTTCGCTGCTAAGTCAGGGGTAGTTCAGTCGGGACAGCATGGGACCTGATGGGTGGGCTGTTCTTAAGCTCTCAACACAGTTATAAAATCCATTAATCACGCAAAAAGAATAAAGTAATCTAGCAACATAACTATGGTTCTGCCACAGCTGCAGTGGCTGAGCCCAGTTCAAAGTATTGACCTATAAAGCCCTATATGGCTTAAGGCCCAAATACATGACACAGCATCTCTCCCAGCACGAAGCTACCTGGACCCTACATTCATCCCGCCAAGGCCTCCTTTCCAGCTATGGAAGGCTTTGCACAGCGAGGGTGGCCTCAACATATTTTCAATTCCAGGTTAATACTTACCCTAGGCATTTGGTGAATTCTGATGGGTTACCATAACCCAGAGAGGTTTTTATAATAATAAGCAGTTTATAAATTCTTTAGGAGTAAGTAAAAAACTAAACTAAAATATACAGCTGGAGTTTTTAAAGTTGCTGTTGCTGCTTTGTTAAGTGTCTTGGTAATTGGTATGCTTTAAACTCTATGTTTTTGCATTGCCTGGAACTGTATTAAGGGACAAATAAATAAAACAATCATAGTAATGCTACTCTGCTTTCTTTCCACATATATCTACAGCTCTGGATTCAATGCATGTTTTGACCAGTTATCTTCCAGTAATAGCAGCTGGCAATGTGACCTCGTGTACAGCTTAAGCTACCTCAGAATAAGCAATGAATTTTGCTGCTACGACTGAGCTGCAATTCCTTCCACATGAAGCTTGCTTGCAAGAAGCCACCTTCTTCCTCACATCATTATCCTATTAGTACCAGCCTCTCTGTCTTCTGTCAGAAATAGATTACCATTTAGTTCATGCCCTTGGTATAATACCCAAGGAATTGGCAGGTATGGAGATGCAAGAAGCGCAGTTATGAATAAGTATGGACTGCAAAGAATTCTAGAGCAAAGAAGCTTTCTTTTACTTGTCAGAGCAAATCATCCAAAGCAACTGAATTTTGATGACTGAAAGAATCCTTTCTGCCATTTGTATTGTTGGAGAAGAAAATGTTCTGGACAGAAATTTTAGGAGTTGAAACCACTGTAGCTGGGAGAAATAATGGTGGGTGGTTCTCTACCCTTGAGAATCACAAAACTTTGCAATAATAGTCTGCCTGCCTGCCCTTCATAAATGCCCTTGTCACTTTCTCCTTAAGATTTCAATTTTTAGTATACAGTGGTACCTCGGGTTAAGAACTTAATTCGTTCCGGAGGTTGGTTCTTAACCTGAAACTGTTCTTAACCTGAGGTACCACTTTAGCTAATAGGGCCTCCCGCTGCCGCCGCCGCGCAATTTCTGTTCTCATCCTGAAACAAAGTTCTTAACCCAGGGTACTATTTCTGGGTTAGTGGAGTCTGTAACCTGAAGCTTATGTAACTTGAAGCATCTGTAACCCGAGGTACCACTGTACACTTGAAGAATTGTTGCTGGCTAAAGAAAATATGGCCTGGCCTCAAAGGTAAGAAGAATGAAAAACTTGATATTGTTGCAATCATCTGATGAAAATGAAGAGGTTGTAGCTGAATAGGCCCACTGTCTCAGCAACATCCAAGCGGAAATGGAATGTCTATATTATCCATTTTCTCAACTACTTTGTGATGGCCTGGGATTCAGACTCGGAGGCTGAACCTGAGGGATCCCAGCCTGCACAGGAGACCCCGCCTCCAGAACCAGCTGAGCCGGGGCTGAGGCTTGAGCCTGAAGGGTCCTCACCTGTGCTGGATCCTCAGGTGCAGGCATCAGCTGAGTCTGCTCTGGCTCCTGAGGTGATGGAGGACCCATTGCTTGCAGGTGCTCCACTCTCAGCCCCATCAGAGGAAGCTGAGGTTGCCTCTGGGTCTCATAACCCTCCAGCCTCTCCTGAGCTGCAGATGCTCAGGGCAGAGAGGCGGAGGGAACTAAGTTCCTGCAGGAGGAGTGCTCGCCTCCAGGCCAGGAGGTGCGAGTCACCTGTGGACTGGGGCCGCTCTATGCCTCGGGGCAGAAAAAAGCCGGCCAGCCCCAGTCCCAAGTTGTGGGAGCAACATTGTTGGTAGCCAGTTCCTGCCTGCACCTGTCCTGCCGGATCTCCTGACCTCACTCGACTCCCTGCCTTGGACCCAGCTTCAGCTTTGATGGACTGCTTCCATACTGTACCCTCGACCTCGGACTGGACTCGGATCTCGCCTCACGGTTAGCCCACGGGACCAGCACATACTTCTTCTTCAGCACACTGTCTACTTTGCCCACTTATGCTGCATTCTCCATCCATCCAATATCATCTCCTTATCTTCTCTGCTGTGAAGTATAGCACTGTTTATAAGAAGAGACTGCTGGATCAGGCCAATGACCCATTAGTCCAGCATCCTGTTCTCACAGTGGCCTGTGAGAAACCCACAATCAAGATTCAAGCACAAAAGCACTCTTCCCTCCCATGGTTTTCAGCAACTGGTATTCAGAATCATTGCTGCCTCCAACAGCAGAATAGCCACCATGGCTAAAACCATCAATAGCCCTCTTCTCCATTATAAGTTTGCTGATAAGGTTGAGTGGGGCTGCAGTCTTAGATGGTAGCTTCTTCATTTTAAATGAATTAAACCATCAGTGTAAAGGAAATAATTTACTATACTCCTAACACCAAACAAACTGGATTCTTGTTTGGTATTAGGAATTTAGTAAATAATTTCCTTTATGATGACAGTTTAATTCTGTTGCACGTGGCCCTGGGCATCCAATTGTGAGGAAGAGCGGTGTAACATTAAAATCAAGGTCCTTGTGCCAGTTCCCTTGAACCACAGCTCCAGTGCAATGGACCTTAATATCATACTATAGAGTCTGAGGTACAGTATAAGGCTTACCAGAAGCATGCAGGCCCCCATGGTGATTGCTTTCATTTTGATATCAAGGTCCATGGGGAATTGGACATCAAAGTTGCTTGCATCTGTGGCAGCCTCTCTTGCCATGCCTGCCCACTTCCTATGGATTGTTCCGACTGTAGACCTCCCATCCAGTGTCTTCACCTGGTTTTTAATATGAACAGAAAAAAATATATTTTATTTGCAAGGTGGTTTTTTTGTTTTCATTTAACTACATTTATACAGTGCATTCAATAAAATAAGCACCCAGTACAACATAAAGCACAAAATAAGGCACAGTACTAATAATTAAAATTATGAAATGGTCCTAAGTACAGATAGTTCATCATCAGACATAACCTATCAATAAATATACATCAACTTCAACATCAATTAAAAATTACACATCTTAATAACAATAAATGCTATAGTCATTTAAAAGGGTCCAGTGGATCTCTGGCTGAGCCATGAGGTTCCTGGTTCAAGCTGATCTACACTGGTGAAACTCCCTCAGCTGGAACACCCCTAGCCAGCCTGAGCTGAGCATGGCAGATCTTAAGGTGGCGTAAGCCTTGAAAGCAGGGAATTCCAGGGGTGAGACCTCGGGCTGGATCCTAAGCCTATTCAGCTCAAGCCACATGACCTGGTAAATTCGGCATAAGTTAAGCCAGCAAAAAATGGTATAACTCCAAACCTTTGTTAAAGGATTGTTTTCCCTCTGCCAGGATTAGGCTGGTTTAGCCAGCAGTAACCCTGCTCCCAAATGGAGTTTGGAACCGGTGTACCTTATGCTGGTTTAATTTAAGTTGGCATACTTCACATTAGCTTCCCATACTTAGGATTAATCCCACCCTCATCTGTCCCCTTGCAGTTTCTCTGCCAGCATATCACAGGCGTAAGCCTGTAGCTTAGCGGAAGAGCTTTTGCTTTGCAGATTCACTCCCCAGCATTTCCAGGTAGGTCAGCAGATTGAGGCTGCATCTCAACAAGGCAGAAGTATTGTTTCTGGGTGACAGGGGGTGAGCAGGTGTGGAGACTCCCTGGTCCTGAATGGGGTAACTGTCCCACTAAAGAACCAGGTGTGCAGCCTTGGGATCACACGTCAATTCTGTGTCCAAGCCGTCTGTCTACCAGCTCCACTGGTACGTAAGATGAGACCCTGCCTGCCTGAGCACTGTCTCACTGAAGTAGTACATGCTCTGGTTATCTCTTTTTTGCAGCTAGACTGGTGACTGGGAGCAGCCGCCGGGACCATATAACACTGGTCCTAAAGGATCTCCATTGGCTTCCAGTACGTTTCTGAGCACTATTCAAAGTGTTGGTGCTGAGATTTAAAGCCCTAAATGGCCTTGGCCTTGTATACCTGAAGGAGCATCTCTACCCCCATCATTCAGCCGGACAGAGATTCAGCTCCGATAGCCTTTTGGGAGTTCCCTTATTGCGAGAACTGAAGCTACAGGGAACCAGGCAGAGGACCTTCTCGGTAGTGGCACTCAGGAAGCTTGTAATATCTGATGTTTCATTGTATTTTTATATTCTGTTGGAAGCCGCCCAGTGTGGCTGGGGCAACCCAGTCAGATGGGCGGGGTACAAAAAAATTGTTGCTGTTGCTGGAAGAGTCTGCCTGAAACCCTATAGAGTCAGTCCAGACATTACTTAAGCTAAATGGATCCATGTTCCCACTCAATATAAGTCAGCTTCCTATGTTCCTGTGTACAGGTTTTTGCTCAACCTTATGTTGTGCTTAGGGACGCAGGTGGCGCTGTGGGTTAAAGCCTCAGCACCTAGGACTTGCCGATCGAAAGGTCGGCGGTTCGAATCCCTGCGGCGGGGTGCGCTCCTGTCGTTCGGTCCCAGCGCCTGCCAACCTAGCAGTTCGAAAGCACCCCCGGGTGCAAGTAGATAAATAGGGACCGCTTACTAGCGGGAAGGTAAACGGTGTTTCCGTGTGCGGCTCTGGCTCGCCAGAGCAGCGATGTCACGCTGGCCACGTGACCCGGAAGTGTCTCCGGACAGCACTGGCTCCCGGCCTATAGAGTGAGATGAGCGCACAACCCTAGAGTCTGGCAAGACTGGCCCGTACGGGCAGGGGTACCTTTACCTTTACCTTTATGTTGTGCTTGCAAGCGTTCAGCAGTCCGATGCTTCTAAGTGGCTATAGCATTTATTGTTCTTGCTTTAGGATTGCCCCCAAAATCACATGTTCCTTCCACCCACAGCCCTGCCACAACCCAGGCCTGGTGCAGGACCTGATGCAAGGTCCCCCCAACACAACACACTTGCCAGACTGGAACAAAGCAGAGTATGGGGATGCAAGGAAGCAGCCAATTCTGCTCTGTACTGTATATGTCACTATCAGCACCTTCCCCATTCCAATACAGTTTGGCTTCCACTAAAACCTACACAGTTCGTCTTGCTATCCCACGGTGAGCAAAATTAACATAATTAATTATGTGATCAGCGTCAATGCATTTCAATGGAAGGGAAATATCAAAAACAAATAGAAAATATCTGCTGTGTGCACAACGTTTGCAGACAGCAAATGCTCTGATGGTGCTCTGATGGTGTTTCCTGCTTGGCAGGGGGTTGGACTCGATGGCCCTTGTGGTCTATTCCAACTCTATCATTCTATGATTCTATGAAAAAGAGATTCTATGATTCTATGAAAAAGAGATTATTCTATGAAAAGATTCTATGATTCTATGAAATGCCCATCATATTTGCTTTTATGATTTCCATTCCTGACCTTCAACAAAACGCTTTGGACAGAATTATCCAACACCCCTAGCCCTGAGATGCTAACACCTGCTCCTATGAGTAAATTCAATGCCCCAATCATGAATGCAATTAGCATTCTGATACAATATACCTCAATAACAATGATCTGGCAGGGAAACCTAGGAATTTAGCTTTTTAAGGATTGACTTACCTCGAAATGAATATCCTGGAAACAGCGGCATGGCACACATGGCCCAGTCATTTTAAGTACGCTTTCTCTGGCCTCGTTTTGAAGAACAAATTTAGGGAGAAAGGGATGCCACTTCTGTTTAACATAACCAATGACTGTGCCTAGTGGGGCCTGAACTTCAAGCTTCAAAGGAAAAACAGCACAGTAAGAACAGGACCTTGCACTTTTGTCTAGTGCAGAAATACACAGATAAGAATTTATAATACAAGGTTTATAATACAAGCTGGAGCATGCCCAGGATGAAAATACATGGGGGGAAAATAGGTTAACCAAAGGTATAGTGTGTCCTCACATACATGGTATGTATTTTCTTGGGGAAAGAGATGTAAAGGTATATGCTGGCATAAATGGGTATTTGCAGAGACATAAGCCTGAAGAGGTCTAAAATAAACGCACACACTCTTGCTAATGGTAGAGAGAGAGCCACTTAAAATTGTCACTGTGGCTTCAGAAAAAGAAAGGTCCCTGTCCCTACTATGATGGAAAGTTTCATAATTCTAATGAAATGAATCTCTGCAATTAAAAATATGAACTGAAATGATGGGAGCCACCTGAAAAGAGCCACAAAGAAATCTTGAGAATTAATAAGTAGGTATCCCTAAAGAGTTATCATCTTGAAAGTTGGAAAGCCTAATTAGAGGAAGAAAGTCAGAAGATGGGCTCCTAGGAAAAGTGCAAGTTTACCTCTTGCAAGCAGCAAATACAAGGACAGCAGCAAATGGAACACTGGAAATCTCTTGTCAGCTGCATGATTGGCTGGCTTGCACTGTCATAGAACTTAATGGTGAAGGGGCGTAGTGCCCCATAACAATTCAGGGTGTAGTCGTCATTTTCCTCAGCTGCAAAATACACCATCTGCCCCACAGAGTTTCTGACTTCATATCTGTTGCAAGTTTCAAAGCCACTTATCACTGAAAAGGAAGCAACATCAGTTTGAGTGCTTATGTAGTTGATCCAAATGCTTGTCATGAACATTATGAAGACAAATTAGAGCCATCAACTTTAGCCTCAGATCTACAGTACTAAAGCCTTAGAACAGGGGTCAGCAAACTTTTTCAGCAGGGGGCCAGTCCACTATCCCTCAGACCTTGTGGGGGGCTGGACTATACAGGTATTTTGGAAAAAAATATGAATGAATTCCTATGCCCCACAAATAACTCAGAGACGCATTTTAAATAAAAGGACACATTCTACTCATGTAAAAACATGCTGATTCCTGGACCGTCCGCTTGCCAGATTTAGAAGGTGATTGGGCCGGATCTGGCCCGCGGGCCTTAGTTTGGCTACCCATGCCTTAGAAGAATATTCAGCTTCTTGCCTGTCTAGTAAAATAAGACAACATGTAGGTATTATGCTGCCTTATTGTCTGTCCAAATACTGAACCATAGCTGTCAACCGTCCCTTATTTGGTGGGAAAGTCCCTTATCCCAGCGCTGTGTCCTGCTGCTGTCCCTTAAATTTCCCGGGTTTCAAAGGAAGTAGTTCCTCTCCCTCCCTGCCTGCCGGCCAGGGAGGAGGGAGGCTCCAACCGTGTTGCTTGGCTGCGTTGCTCACCCAATAAGGAGTCTAAGAACGACTGGGGGGTGGAGCTTGCATGCCTTGTGCCGATCAAATCGGCTGCGTTGCCTTTGCTCAACGCTTCCCAGTGGAGAGGTGACGGTGGTTTTCCTTGCTGCATCCCCTTTGCCGGGTTGCTGCGCTGTGGGAACCACCGCTTGAGGCTTCGTTTGGCTGCTGGCTGGGCTTTCTGCCTTTGGCTCTGAGGGGCTCAGAAGTTGAACATACCTGTGTTCGGAAAAATCCCTTATTTTGGCTGCTGATCCCTTATTTTCGAAGCTGCTGGCCCTTATTTTCAAATCTGTAAGTTGACAGCTATGCACTGAACCAATTGAGCAAGTACCACAGTGAGGCTGCCGGGCCTCACTACAGGTGACACTAAGGACATGATTAGCAACATGTATTTGTAAATGTTAATATACTAGGTTCAGAGGGGATGGTTAAAGATTTCAGCAGGCGGAGATGTTTAAACCTGCCTCTCCAGCTGCTGTTTCCACAAAATCTAACACCTTCATGGACAGTAATTAGCACTGGAGGAAAGTTCCTCTTGGTGCCAATGAGAACTCCCCCCCCCCAATGTTAACTGCTGCAGGGTGGTGCATGATTTCAAATGAAATGGGCCTAGAGAAAAGATGAAGCCTCCACTCCACTCATGTCTAGGTAACAACCTGGTCCTTAATATTTTTTAAGGTACAATGTGATTGCTCATCATGTCATTAACATTACATGCAGTCATGTTTCAGGATGTGAAAATCAGTTTGTACAAATAAGGGAAGAAAAGGAAAAGAATGCTCTCACTTAGATTCTTAGTCTTTTTTGCACAGTGCATTTATTTTTACTACTACTATTTATTATTATTTTTATCTTTGGGTCAGCTGGCTAATTTGCTTTTACAAGCGTGCTGTTTCACCCATCCCATTTTTGCTGTTTTTCCCAATTTGTTTTATTCTGAGTTGTTGTTTATCACACACCACCTCTAATACAGGGAATGTGGCTAATGCATAGCTTTAGTAATAGATATATATTAATTTGCCACCCATGAGAACATCCTGGATTTAAAAAAAGAACAGCCATCAATTTGAAAATCACTCTCAATGCTCAATTAGAGTTTAAGTAAGATAGCAAGATCATACTTTCCATGAGTTCAATCTGCTGTTGAATTGATAGGTGATCAAGCTGTTGCAAAGATAAAAGGCAAAAGACAAGAGCATACATGTTAACACAGAAATGCATTACAAAACGATTATATAGGTGCAATTATTTTAATGTAACGTACATTTTTGGTAATATTTATGGTCATTTACGGGACGCGGGTGGCGCTGTGGGTAAAACCTCAGTGCCTAGGACTTGCCAATCATATGGTCGGCGGTTCGAATCCCCGTGGTGGGGTGAGCACCCGTCGTTCGGTCCCAGCTCCTGCCCACCTAGCAGTTCAAAAGCACCCCTAAGTGCAAGTAGATAAATAGGTACCGCTTTATAGCGGGAAGGTAGCGGCGTTTCCATGCACTGCGCTGGTGCTGGCTCACCAGAGCAGCTTCATCACGCTGGCCACGTGACCCGGAAGTGTCTTCGGACAGCGCTGGCTCCTGGCCTCTTAAGTGAGATGAGCACGCAACCCCAGAGTCAGTCACGACTGGCCCGTACGGGCAGGGGTACCTTTACCTTTACCTATGGTCATTTACACTGCCACCATTTTCGTTTTCTGCACACTTGCTTAAAGGTGCTTATATCCACTGTTGATATTCATCTGTCTCGAGAGACAATGGAGTATGCCTCCAGGGGTGAAGCCAAACTTCTGCATTAGCCAGCTCCTCCTCAGTGAGGAAGGCAAAGCAATGCAGCTCCTTTTGAATGGTATGAAAGGGCAGAAAACAGCTAATTATTCTTTTTATCATTTATTTTATTTTTATTGCCATGGTGGGTGTCTGCAGAGAGTGGGGGAGGGAGATGGTAGACCATCTACTCAAATCAAGAGAATGTGATTTCGAAAGTTTGGGTGGTAAGAAAAGAAAAGAAAAGAAAAGAAAAGAAGGAAAAACCACAGCTGGTTCTTGTGGGTGGCTTCCCAATTATGATTGCCAGGATCAAGGCAGGGTTCACCATGGCAACTGTGGTGACCATATTTGTGGAGACTGCTGTGCTTGGTAAATGATGAGACATAGGGATAAATGGAGGGAGATACCTGGCTTAAATATTCCAATCCTGGAGGGCATTTTGGAATTGCAGGAGGTGGCGGCATCCAAATCACAGGCACATTAGGCTGATACTGAACCGGGACAGCACTGTAAGTTGCTGGCAGACCTAGGAAATTTGAAGAAAGTTATCCAGGAGTGTTTTGAAAGATCAAAACCTAATTAAAACATTATTTTAACTTCTAGAATTCTTGAAGACCCTAAAGCTGCAATCCTAACTCCCATTTACCTGGGGGGAAGATCCACTGAATTTAATAGGACTTGGTTCCAAGTCGACATGGCTAGGGTTGCACTGCAAATCAGAAACAACTGAAAGCAAACTGAGCGGCTTCAGAAGGGTTCGTGGTTGTACTGTATGTTTCAACAACAACCCTTTGCTTTCACCCATCAGTAGGAGCCCATAAGGGCATTCATTAAGGTGGAGGGGTCACTATACCTCCAAACTACAGCCTTGCTGTATTTGATCATGGATTCCTTTCACTGTGGCAAATCATTTTGGATAATTTCACAAATGTGATTTATAATTACTGAAAATAAATTCAGTGTTAATTCTTCATCATGTTCCAATTAAATTCTGCAATAATCTCAGTCAAGATTGCAAGCCTTTCTTTTTTCTTTTCTTTTCTTTTTAAAGTTGGCTGTGTTACAGGAAAGAAAATGCATTTTAAATGCAAGGTTTTACAAACGCAAGGTTTCACGAACTTGTCATAAATGGCTGAAAAATCCACTAGAGGGCGCACAGAGTATTCACCATACACACAGGGGTGGAAAATGAAAAATCAAAACACTGTACACTACTTTATACAAACGATTTCCACCACCTCATTGTTGATAGATGTGTTGGAGGCCTGTAAGGGATATGGGGACAATGCGCTCTCCAGTTTCAATTCACCTGAATTCCAGTTCAAAACATAATTTAACTTCAAGCAAAAGTTTCTTTGCCGCCCACTTCTCCCTGCTCACGTTGGGAGGAAGCAAGCTATCATGTGCAAGCCAAGAACAAACTTTGGCTACGAGTTGTGCTTTGTTAGTGGCAAAACAAACCACAATCCCTGCCATGGACACGGCACTAAACCAAGGTTTATGGTCTGTTTCTCCCAGCGGTGACATTGCCATCATCCACAGTGGGTGTGAGTTCACCCTCACACAGTAAACCATGGTTTTTGGCTTACTGTGCGATGTGGTGATGCAACAACTCAAGTTTTATGCTGTGTGCCTTAACATTGTACTACAAAATTCTGAACAGATAACAGCAACTGAGTTGTGATTAAGGATAGCAAACAGACTTTCAAATCCCCAGGAAGCCAGTAAGCTTAGACTAACTTTTTGGTTTTATTGGAGGGGGGGGGGAAATATGGGCCGGAGGTGGATCTTGGAGGAAAGGCAGGATACAAATGCAATAAATGAAGATTTAAATGAATAGTCAAACAGTCACATTCTGAATATTTCACCTATCTAAACATCATTTTGTAAGCAAACTAAGAAAGCCTGCATAGACCCAACTGCTTACCTGGGACTGCAGGTCCAGGTGCATTTGGAGGATATCCATATTGGGCTTGGCCAGGTGGATATCCTGGGCCTGGATATTGTGGAGGTGGTGGGGTAGGCTCAGATTCCTTTGCTGGAAGAAGAGAAAGACAGTCAGGTGTATGGTGCGTTACTGCATTGGCTCCCAGTACATTTCTGAGCACAATTCAAAGTGTTGGTACTGACCTTTAAAGCCCTAAACGGCTTCGGTCCTGTATACCTGAAGGAGTGTCTCCATCCCCATCGTTCAGCCCAGACACTGAGATCCAGCCTTCTGGCGGTTCTCTCATTGTGAGAAGTGAGGCTACAGGGAACCAGACAGAGGGCCTTCTCAGCAGTGGCACCCGCCCTGTGGAACACCCTCCCATCAGATGTCAAAGAGATAAACAACTACCTGACATTCAGAAGACATCTTAAGGCAGCCCTGTTCAGGGAAGTTTTTAATATGTAATGCTGTACTGTTTTTAACACTTGATTGGGAGCCGCCCAGAGTGGCTGGGGAAACTCAGCCAGATGGGCGGGCTATAAATAATAAATTATTATTATTATTATTATTATTATTATTATTATTATTATTATGCTTGTGCCCTGCATCTCCATTATCCATACCTACACACTGTGCATGTGAAACATCTTGAAGCCTGTTAATGCTTTTGGGGGTGGGTTATTGGTTTGTTTTTGTTTTAATTATGCATTTTGTGTTTTGTATTGTGTATTTTTTTATGTGAAGTGCCCTGAGATCTGTGGAGGAATACAAATTCCATAAATAAAAATAAAATAAAATAATACATGAGAGAGGTGAGGACAAAAGATTATGGATCAAAATTCAATTGCCAATTGCTAGGGATCCTTACACCCCTATTTTAGCCTTTTTAGAAATGCTAGTTTGTTGCAATATTTATATTAAAATGTGTTAGGTTTACCATTTCTAAAAACATTTATAAATGTTTATAAACATTTTATAAAATCATTTCTTTAAAATATTAATAAACACATTGCCATTTTAATTTGGAAGTCAGCTGGTTGTAGAGAGAGAAAAACGTAGGCTGTGAGGTCAAGAGGGATGCAAAACACCAAAAGTTGTCAATCTGCAACTTCTGAGTTTCATTTCCTTTGACCTCAATGCCATTGGGTGCCTGGAGGCAGTTGGAGGATGGATGGTGGCTAATGGATTGAGGTTGAATCCTGACAAGACAGAAGTACTGTTCTTGGGGGACAGGGAGCAGGCAGGTGTGGAGGACTCCCTGATCCTGAATGGGGTAACTGTGCCCCTGAAGGACCAGGTGCACAGCCTGGGAGTCATTCTGGACTCACAGCTGTCCATGGAGGCGCAGGTCAATTCTGTGTCCAGGGCAGCTGTTTATCAGCTCCATCTAGTACGAAGACTGAGACCCTACCTGTCCGCAGACTGTCTTGCCAGAGTGGTGCATGCTCTAGTTATCTCCCGCTTGGACTACTGCAATGCACTCTACGTGGGGCTACCTTTGAAGGTGACCCAGAAACTACAACTAATCCAGAATGCGGCAGCTAGACTGGTGAATGGGTGCAGCCGCCGAGACCACAAAGAAAGATCTACACTGGCTTCCAGTACGTTTCCAAGCACAATTCAAAGTGTTGTTGCTGACCTTTAATGCCCTAAACAGCCTTGGCCCGGTATACCGAAAAGAGCATCTCCACACCCATCATTCAGCCTGGACACTGAGGTCCAGCTCTGAGAGCCTTCTGGCAGTTCCCTCACTGTGAGAGTGAAGTTACAGGGAACCGGATCGAGGGCCTTCTTGGTAGTGGCGCCCACCCTGTGGAACACCCTCCCATCAGATGTTAAAGAAATAAACAACTATCTGACTTTTAAAAGACATCTGAAGGCAGGGAAGTTTTTAATGACTGATGTTTTAATGTATTTTTAATCTTTTGTTGGAAGCCGCCCAGTGGCTGGGGAAGCCCAGGCAGATGGGCGGATTATTATTATTATTATTATTATTATTATTATTATTATTACCACCAGGTTCATCAGTCAGTGCAGACTTTTCAGCACCGGATTTATATGTTGCCAATACATAGACTGTCCCAGTGACAGCCTATCTGCAGCATTTTCAATCCGCTGCAGCCTCCTGTTTTCCTAATATAATGCATTTTTGTATGGTTTTTGCCCTTAAATATACATATTTAAACCCACACTTTACTCTAGTTAATATACATATTTTATACATTACTCGGCTGGAGAATTGCATTGCAAAATTCAGATAAGTGTGAATTTCAAACGTCTGCTGTATTTTGGTTTTGTATGTTATTTCAGGAAGTGAGAATTATGTAACTTTGCCTTCAAATGTAACCTGAATCAAATTTCTCCCCCAACTCTACCTAACAGAAGAGATTCCTGCTTCTGTAGCATTATTTTAAGTCTTGCTCTTAAATTGGAAACTTGAGCCCCCTCCTACATCAGACTGGACATAAGGGCAGAAGCAGAAGCAAAGAGGCATTCATGCAAGCAAAACCAAGGAATGTGCATATTCCAAGCTCAAAAGCAAATAAGTAACACATGAACTGCTTTTTGTTGTTTTACTCACATGGCATTTCCATGATTTTGCATACAATCCTGTCTGAAAAAAAATATATATTTATTTTACAGTATGATCATTTCTCCCCACTTCAGTTTGCTTGCTCTTTGGGATGATTGACAAAAACAAATGTTACATCTGACCAGCTATTATGAAAAGATAAAATAGTCCATGTTTGTTTTCAAGGCACCCTTGTGGAGACATGAAATATACAACTATGGATGCTACAATCCTAAACACACTCACTATGAAGTAAATCCCATTGAACTTGCTTCTCTGAATATATATGTACTGGACTGAACTGTACAAAACTGCAGACAGAATTCCATTTTGGTTCCAGGTTTCTTGGTTCCAAATCATAGATTTCCACAGAAAACCCCCCTGCCTGTTCCAAGGTTTGTTCAGTTGTATTTGCACTGCCATTCCCCGCCCCCTCTGCAATGTTATCAACTATGCAATTCCTTCAAGAGCATGAATATAATCTTTCAGTTGAAGTCACAATACATCAGGGGCTTTCTAATCTTACCAATGCACACATAGTATTTCTCAAAATGAGGGGGAGTTAGAAAACGTTTTGGAAATCCTACAGCACAACAGAAATTTCTTCTGTGCAACCACTGTTTGCAATGTTAAAGTTCTTTTACGCAATAGGCCACTCGGAAGGGTTATTCTAACACATACTCAAGTTGTCTGGAGCAGGAATGAGGAATCTGTGGCCTCTGGATATTGTTGGACTCCAACTCTAATTGTCTATCGGCAATGTTGCCTGCAGCTGATGGGGTTTGGAACTACAAGTTCCCTATGCCTGCCCTAGGGAAATCCTGCAGGAAGCCTGTGCTACGGGACCCAGCCAGTGCAGCGTGTAGGGTTCAGACAATAAACTAGTTCACTTACTTAGTTCACTTACTAGTTCACTCACTTTGTATAGTCTGAAATGAGTTATTCAATCCAACAGCCAATTGAAACACAATTCAATTCCTCAGGGGGGTGACAGAGTTAAAATGAGAAAAAAACAATCCTTGAGACATGAATTTCCTTCCTTGTTTGTGTTGAAGGATCATTTGCTAGACTTGGTGGTGTGGAAAGATGGGGTGAGTAGGCAGGGTATATTGAGGGCAGATTCCCATGGTTGGAATTCTATGGCATGTTATTAGCAAATGTTCCATCAGCTAGCCAGGTGGAATGACCTCCTTCCCCTCTCCCTGTGTGCTATTCTGTGGGTTCCCCTGAGCCAATTTGGGGGGGGGGTGCATGGGGGAAGGAGATGGGAGAAGCTGCATGACACAAGTGGAAGCCCTTATGAAAGTCTTCCTCTGATGGGGTTCATCAGGTGAATCCCATCGCACAACTGACAGCATTTGTCCTATATCAGAAGTGGCATGTGTGGTGGGGCAGAGCCACCTAACAATGCCATCACCACTGTTGTTGACCTGGACAGGGTGGTGGTGAGGTCAGGGCTGTGTGGTTGCAGTGGCAGGAGCTTGGTGCAACCATGTGGCCCTGACCTTGTTGTTTCACTAAGGGAAGAAGCAGAAATGCTGGTATCAAGAGGTAGCCTCACTCTGGATTACAACTGAATATAAACAATTATAATTACAGATTGGGACCTAGTCTCTGGCCAAATGTTCTCCTCATCAATAGACACTGTAGCTTCTGTTTAATAAGATGCAGTTTGCTGGCAGAACAATGAGCCAGATTAACATAACGGCCACCATCTTCCACATGGGCCTGTCCAGTTATGGAGCTATGTACTGGAAAACCTTTTTCACATCCCTTTGCCTTCAAAAGTTAGATGGGTGAGGACTGAAGCGAGGCCCTCTTCAGTGGTGGTGCCATGATTCTGGAATTCACCTGGCCCTGAGGGTGCTTCCAGGCAGGAACATTATCTCACAAACAAGACATTGAGACCCAATATTTCTGTGTGAGCCAGGCATAGGCAAACTCGGCCCTCCAGATGTTTTGGGACTACAACTCCCATCATCCCTAGCTAACAGGACCAGTGGTCATGGATGATGGGAACTGTAGTCCCCAAACATCTGGAGGGCTGGGTTTACCTATGCCTGGCTGTGAGCAATGAGCATGCAAATATCTACACACCTTGTTTTCCAACCATATTCATCTGCTATTGTGACCAGACCCAGAAATAAAGAGGCAAGGCACAAGTGATGGGTTGAAATAGGGCCACATTTTATTATTAACCAAAACCTTGAGCAAGCTCAACCTTGCCCATTTCAAGTGGCATGACAAAGCTTGGGCCTTATGGTAAGTAGGGAGGCCTTTGTGCCCCACACCCTCCCAGGGCCCCACAATTCCAGGCAGGTGTGCAGGTGAGGCTCAAGAATGTTCCAGATCCAAGCTAAGGGCCCCACAACCTATATTAGCTGGCCTCCAGACACACCTGTCACCTTCAAAGGAGCCTAAGGGTGTTTCCACTGTTCAACCTGCAACCTTGGTTTATGGAGCCATTTGATGCCTAGCTTAAATATTTGAGTTTCTAAGACTGTCTGTTCCTTTATCTAACCGTAACCTTTCCCACACCTTCTCGCCGATAATGTGACCCAAATAAAATATGCAACCAAATCAACCTGTGATTTCCACCCCTAAATCACAACATCCCATGAATACAGTATGGAGTGGGCAAAAAAACCCCCACCCAGCTTGGACAATTTGCAGCCAGACAAAAAAACACAAAAATGCTGCTTAAACAAGACGTAGCTGGAAATCCCACACAGCCAAGGATGGTAAAGTCTATGGCATGGGTGTGGCGCAGAGGTACACCAGGCAACCTGGTTTTGCAACTTTCTAAAATGGAATCTTTCAAGGTTGGGCAATATAGACCACCTGCCATTCACCCCCAGTCGGCAGTGCTTTTCAGGCAGTATATATTTCCTCCTGTCCCATCCACCCCGCTTGTTTCATTCTAAGCATGGGCACACATGCCTTAAAAAATGATCAGAATGGCTGGGAACATTTGATTTGTCGCAAGTTTTTTTTAAAAGGTTGATATACAAGTTTTCCAATATACCAACTTCCACAAAAGTGCATACAAAACCAAACCAAAACCATGCTGCCCCTAGGCCCACCAGCCATCCACTAAGGAGCACCTCACCAATGGAAGCAGAGCAGAGGGCATGGTAACAGATGGCACCCTGAGAAATGTCATCGCCCACACAGGGGGGTTGGGGTAGTGGCACACGATGGGCTCCAGTATGTCAACAGCTGGGTAACATACATTTCCCCCCTTTAACGCATTAACCACGCATTTTGATTCAATGTGGGGGAAAGTGCAGGCTAACATGTGGATGAGGACAATGTCACATTGCCGGCACACACGCAAAATCCCCATGTAGACATGGGATGTATCAAATCCACTTTTAATTGCCTTATGTACACCGCCTGGGGGGAAAGCAATAGCTGGAGCTTTTGGAGCAAAGAGCTGGGGATGTAAAGGTTAAACAGTCTCTCCTCCCGACAACTTGCAGTGCCTTTATCTGATCGCAGCACAGGGAGAATCAAAGGGGTATAGTTTCAGGGTATAATTTCAACAGGTATGGTTTCAGGAAATCTCTGCCTTCCCGAAGTTGATGCGTTGCTTCCAGGCAACTTGCTCATGGAGCTTTCTTCTTGACTTGTTTTCATATAGACACCAATTAATTGTACTGTATTTTAATATGGGGGGGGGGATTGGATGGGAGATGACGTTTGATTGAGCAAATGTTACCCCACCACTTTGAGAGCATTTCCCCATCACTTACCACAAACAAAATGAAACATTCTTTTAAGAGAGTTTGTGCTTTTTTTGCAAAAGAGCTCCAAATCAGCAATGGTTGCGTAGCTTAGTTTGCTAGCATGGCTACAAGAACATGGAAGCTGCTTTGCAATGATTCAGTCTATATAGCACAGTACTGTCTACACCAGTGGTGGCCAAACTCGGTCCCTCAGCTGTTTTGGGACTACATTTCCCATCATCCCTGACCACTGGTCCTGTTAGCTAGGGGTGATGGGAATTGTAGTCCCAACATAGCTGGAGGGCCGAGTTTGACCACCACTAGTCTACACTGACTGCTGATGGCTCTCCAAGGTTTCAGGCAGGGTTCTCTCCCAGCCATACCTGGATATGCTGGAGATTGAACCTGAGACCTTCTGCATGCAGTGCAGATGTTCTGCAACTGAGCAACAGCCCCTCCCAAATGGAATCCCTAACTGGATCGAATCCCATTCAGAAATAGCAATTATCTGGATGCACTCTTGGATTCCCACTTAGGAGCTGCTCTTGTCAGCATGCCATGGAAAAACAGGAACTGGACTCCAGGGTCTGGAAACTTTGACTCTGCAAGGGGTTGTTGACATGCAACTCCTATCATGATTAGCCAAGCTGGGTGAGGCTGATGGGAGTTGTAGTCCAACAACATCAGGAGAGTCAAGGGTTAAATGACTGTGGTTTGTGATTATGTAATCCACCAATTCACATTAGTTAGTAAAGGTTTAACGTTCTAATTAAATGTATGATTTTTAAAAAACAAAAACATCACTACCACCACCACAGCGTTATAATTCAGAATTCGCCACATGTCATCTTGTTGTAGACAGCCAAGATTGATATCTAGGAAGGCTGGATAAGCACAGAATCGTGGAGTTGGGACCCAGCGGGTCATCTAGTCCAGTGTTTTTCAACCACTGTTCCGCGGCACACTAGTGTGCCGCGAGATGTTGCCTGGTGTGCCGTGGGAAAAATTGAAAAATTCGAAAGATTTAAAAATAAAGTATTTTATAATTTTTCACATTTCTGTTTACTTACTATTTCATAATAAAGTAATTATAAAATACTTTCTTTGTGTTTATTTGATTCCTATTCAAGAGGATTACTTTATATATAGTCAATATAGGCACAGAGTTAATTTTTTTAACATTTTCTAATGGTGGTGTGCCTCGTGATTTTTTTTTCATGAAACAAGTGTGCCTTTGCCCAAAAAAGGTTGAAAAACACTGATCTAGTCCAACCCCCTGCAATGCAGGAATCAACATCTAAAATTCAACAGTTTCGCTTTTCTTGGCATGGATATACAATACAGTGGTACCTCGGGTTACAGATGCTTCGGGTTACAGACGCTTCAGGTTACAGACTCCGCTAACCCAGAAACACTACCTCGGGTGAAGAACTTTGCTTCAAGATATCGCACAGCGGCAGCGGGAGGCCCCATTAGCTAAAGTGGTACCTCAGGTTAAGAACAGTTTCAGGTTAAGAACTGCCCTCCAGAATGAATTAAGTTCTTAACGCGAGGTACCACTGTACTAAAGGGGAAGTTTCACCGATGGTGTTGGGCAATGCCATCTATGGAAACCTGATTTCGCGTTTCCTGTTTAATTCCCCTCAGCCTGCCCTTACTTAACGGCAAAATAAAAAAAATTCCTTCCAGCAGCACCTTAGAGACCAACTAAGTTTGTTATTGGTATGAGCTTTCGTCTGCATGCACACTTCTTCAGCTGCACACGAAAGCTCATATCAACAGAAAACTTAGTTGGTCTCTAAGATGATAATTGAAGGAATTTTTTTTATTTTGTTTTGACTACGGCAGACCAACACGGCTACCTACCTGTAACTTACTTAACGGGGCGTCGAAGGAAAGAGAGGTTGATGCCCCGCTCCCCGCGCCGCCTAACCGGGGCCCCGGGCGGAGACCTCTTTTTAACGCGCCTAGTCTGGAAGGTTGCAAACTCGAAACAAACTCACTAGGCAGCTACTAATTCGAAGTAAACACCCTTAGGGGTTGCTTTGCAACAGCCTTCACTCGCGCTCTCCTCCGATGCCCATATTTGCTTTCTACCCCGAGGTGAAAGCCAATACCTTGCCGGTGGGTCTCTATTCGTTGCTTCTCCACCCGCCGCAGGCTCAGAAAAGCCACAGACGAGGACGTCTCTTTAGAGACCCGCCCTTGCAATGCAGCGCAGGGGGACGAAGGAGGGGCTGGGAAGGAGATAAAATGGAACCGGCAGAGGGAGGGGAGAGTGAGAGTCAAAACAAGAGTGAACGGAAGGCGGAGCTGGACGCAGCCAGCGGAAGCCAAGGCTGACGCTCGCTGGCCGAGGCTGCCCTCTTGATAACGCTCCCTCGACAAAGCGCATTTACATGCAGTTGTATGAGCTGTCCAGTCCGTCTCCATATTAGAGGATCAGGAAATAAGCGTTGCCAGGACGTCCAAAAGCTGGCTGTCGCGGCTCGGGGGAAAGGAACTCTGCGCGTGCACAGGAGTCTGCCCATTTTTATTACTCCTCACCATGTTCAAGGGCTGATCCTTAGGATCGAAAGAGAGTGTTTCGGAGCTGTACGCCTGCAAACTTTGCCTCTAAGCGAAGAGAGTCTCGCTGCCAAGCGGCAGAGGAAAACGGGTGTGCTTCTTCCAGAATAGCGAATGTGTTTATACTAATAAGCGAAGCAAATGCCTTTTTCTGCAACCCAGAATGTAGAACTTTGCAATTCAGAACTACTGCTACTTTTTGTGCGGGCGTCAACAGTTGTCACCCCCAGTGCATTTTGGCGCTTGAGTTTACTGGGTTTCCCCCTGTATTCTGGTGCTGGAATGTGGAGTTTGAAATCCTGGCAGCTAGACAGAACCTCCATCACTAGAGGCGCCTGAATATTATTTGCTAGAAAGCCAAGCGGAAGAGTCATATTGGGTTCATGCCCTTAGGCTTGCCTAAAGAAACAGGACAAAAGAAGTAATTATAATTTAACAGTTTTCATGTTATTCTATTTTATTAAAGCAACTAAAAAAAATATGATGATGGGAAGATCTCACACAGGTGAAGGGAAGCAGTGGGGAGGAGGGGAGGGTTAGGTTGAATTTGGGAAATAAAATAATATATGGGACAGCAAAGGATATAATAGATTCTTCTAGAATAGTAATATATTGTAACCAGAATAGAAGTTCAAAAGGGGAAGTAAATGTATTTTTAGTATTTTCATTATTGTAATAGTAGTTATTATTTCTTATTGATAGAAGGCAATGTTAATTTAGGATTCTTCGTTTTGCTGTCTGTATAATTTTCTTAAGTCAATAAAAAGGGGGGGGGGAGAGAAACAGGATGTTGGATTAGATGGCCTGGTCCAGAAAAACTCTTCTTAATGTTGCAACGTAATGGTATAAACAGTGCGTGATAATGTCCAAAGCGATCACTAGTCTGCTTGCTTGCTCTCTACTTTTTTTCCTCCTGAACTGCTTGTTCTGCCACTCACAGGAGTCTTTACAATATGGCATCTGGGACTGCTCAGTCAGTAGAGAAGGAGTCTCTTAATCTCATAGCTATGGGTTCAAGTTCCACAGTGGGCAAAAGAGCCCCACCATTGCAAGAGGTGGGTCACTTCCAATTCTAAAAGTCTATGCTTCTATTATCTGTTGCAGTTGTGACTGCTGTCCATCATTCTCAAATGGTCTTCTGTTCTCTCTGCTGGCTTTCTGAGAGGCCTAGATGCTCCCCGCTGAAGCCTACAACAGCAATAAAGATTGACGGGAAAGCAGCTGTTCCCATGCACAACTACCACCCTTTTCCTTTTATGTACTTTTATAAAGAGCATCATTCACTCAAAGAGTGCAGTTCTTTCCTCTCCTAAGGCCAGTGCTTTTTTCCTAAAGAAATGCTTAGGGGTACTCTCATTTTCCGACTCATTTTGAAATACTGCCCCTCAATGAAGCCAAATTTAGATTCACAAAATGTTTAGGGGTATGCGTACCTCTGCGTCCCCCCAGAAAAAAGCACTGCCTAAGGCTACAGTGTTTTTGGCATGCTGTATGGAGAGTATAGGTTCCCAGCTATAGCCATCTCAACGTAACCATAGGCTACATTACCCAAATACCCTCAGTTTTAATAGAACCACAGAATTGTAGAATTGGGAAGGAACCCTAAGGGTCATCTAGTTCAGCCCCCTGCAATGCAGGAATCTCAGTTGAAGCATCCATGACAGTCATCAAACCTCTTCTTAAAAACCTCCAAGGAAAGAGGTATGTTTGGGGCAGGTAAAGAATTACAGACAAATCTTACAAACTGGATACCCTGGCCCATGATACACTGAAGGATGTGGTATGGGCACAGACTGGTTCACCAGAAGGATGGAGAGATATTTAGATATAATACTCTTGCATTACCCATATCCTTTTCCCAAGCTCCCATGAGAGGCATGTACAAATTAATGCCTGGTACTGTCAGTGACAGTGATTGAAGGATTTCCACATGGATTTCCATGGATTTCCACATTAAGATGCAAACATAACAGCAAAACTTACAGATTATTTTACTAGGATTAAAACTTTATTGTTATCCAGTACTGAGAATTTTTACATTTGAATTACATTTGAATCAATTGTTAACTTTTTTGTATTACAGTTAAATTAGGTTTGTCTTTATATGTTTACAAAGTGTTCAACGGAACAAACTACCACTTTGATTTTGAAACATTCAAAGCAGTAAGAATTTTTTGATGTAGATAAATTCCTTTATCAAGAGGCAGCATTTTTTAAATTACAGCTTTAAGAACTTGTATCAAATATATTTGTTTGTTTGTTTGTTTGTTTGATTCATTGTTTACCATTTTAATTGTAATACTGTTACAGGTTTTGTTTAGAGTGAGCTGCCCAGGATCATGGATAGCCAGCCTAGTTTATCAAGTAGGTGGTGATTTTACATGACATGAAATTGGTACAGAACAGATAAATACTTGCAGCTTGCTAGGAAGAAAGCAAATTGGTTCAATTTCACAATATCCTAAATAGTAGATGGTGCACAGATTTTCAAAAGCTCCATAAGAGAAATAATAAGCCAATCTAAAAAGCCTCTAATAAAAGGTTTATCGTTCCATTTAGCAACAGATGAAAAGATGGTTAAAGAAATAAAGAATTTCAATAATCTGCTTTATGGAAGGAAGCAAGAAGCAACAGAGAGCAAAATAAGGGCAGTTTAGAAATAGCTACTGCAAGGTAGACCAGAACTCCTTTAGACAAACTGAGTATACAGCTGGCAACTGAGGTCAAAGCACAGTGACCCACAAACTCTAGACACTACATATTTCCTTCTGCTAGGAAAGAGCTACTTACAGCTCCAGGACATAAGAGTTATTAGGCAGCTAATTTGCTTGCTTGCTATGATGCATCTAAGTACAGCCATGCTACCTTCTACCACAGGCATAGGCAAACTAGGCCCTCCAGGTGTTTTGGGACTACAACTCCCATCATCCCTAGCTAACAGGACCAGTGGTCAAGGATGATGGGAATTGTAGTCTCAAAACATCTGGAGGGCCGAGTTTGCCTATGCCTGTTCTGCCACTATCAAACCACAATGAGAGTGTATGTACTTAAATCTCAATCAAAGCTCAATTAATTGATGGCAAACTGGATGAGGGCCCATCAACTGAAACTACATCCAGACAAGACAGAAATGTTGGTGGGTGGCTCATCTGTCTGGATTAGTGGTGTTTACTCTGTATTGGACTGGGTTGCAGTCCCCTTGATGGAACAGGCATACCACCTCAGGGTGCTCCTTAATCCATCTTTGTTTCCTACCAGTTTACGTTAGTGTGGTAGCTGTGACCCTGCCTGGACAGAGATGTAGCCTGAGTTGTCCTTATTAGCTATGCTAATATGTTATATGTTGGACTTCTTCTGAAGATGGTTCATAAACTAAGAATACAGCTGCTAGAATACCAACTGATCACATTGCACCAGTGTTTTGTCAAATGCATGGGATCCTGGTCTGTTTCTGGGCTCAATTAAATGTACTGGTCCACATGTCAAGATTTCAACAGAGGCTCTTCCTTGTCCAGGTGTCCTGCCATTGGAGGCCCAGCAGACAAGCTAGGGGGTGGAACAACTCCCCTATGAAGAAAGGTTGCAGTGTTTAAGAATATTTCGTTTAGAGAAAAGGCAAGTAAGTGGCAACTTAATAGAGGTTTTTAAAAAAAACGATGCAAAGCATGGAGAAAGTGGATAGAGAAAAAGGTTTTCTTTCTCTCTCATAGCACTACATCCAATGAAGCTGAATGTTGGGAGATTCAAGACAGATTAAAGAAAAAGAAAGAAAACTTATTCATTCAGTGCATAGCAGAACTAAGGAACTTGCTCCCTGAGGAGGCAGTGATGGCTACCAACCAGGATGGCTTTAAAAGAATATTAGGCAAATTCATGGAGGAGAGGGCTATTGAGGGCAACTACCGGTAGTTAAGGGACGCGGGTGGCGCTGTGGGTAAAACCTCAGCACCTAGGGCTTGCCGATCGCATGGTCGGCGGTTCGAATCCCCGCGGCAGGGTGAGCTCCCGTCTTTCGGTCCCAGCTCCTGCCCACCTAGCAGTTCGAAAGCACCCCCGGGTGCAAGTAGATAAATAGGGACCGCTTTATAGCGGGAAGGTAAACGGCGTTTCCATGTGCTGCGATGGTGTCAGCTTGCCAGAGCAGCTTCGTCACGCTGGCCACGTGACCCGGAAGTGTCTCCGGACAGCGCTGGCCCCCAGCCTCTTAAGTGAGATGGGCGCACAACCCTAGAGTCGGACACAACTGGCCCGTACGGGCAGGGGTACCTTTACCTTTACCTTACCGGTAGTTAAGATGGTGATGCTCTTCCTTCACAGCTACAAGCAGCAATGCTTCTGGAAACCACAGGAAGGGGGGAATGCTATTGTGGTCAAATCCTGCTTGTGGGTTTCACACAGGACACAGTGAGAAGAATGCTAGGCAAGATGGGCTCTTTATGTTCTTACAAGGAATATTCTCCCCAATAAAGCTCAACTGGCACCTATTCTGACACTTC